AGTGAAGACGGTTGCCATCTCGGTGGAACCTCCAAATTGTCAAAGTTAGACTCAGGACTCATAGTTTGTCAGACCACTCTGTTTTATTAGCACAGCGCTCTGCTAATACATTCAGATACTGTGAGCCCCCATGCAAGATTCAAACAGTCTTATTTATACAGATAAAAGGGTGCGAACTAAACAAAGGGACAGAGAGAGCAAAATTGTAAAATTTGCATAGGGCACAATATGCATATCCTGTTTCCTTATTAACTCTTATCAATCTAAGGCTAATGCTTCACCAATTGCCCTTAAGTGGGGCAATTCATTAAGCAGTTAATGTCTGCTTTCCTGCCCCCCTGGCTTGCAGCATTTCTCATTTCTACTTAAAGGTACATACAGCATTCTTTAATTCATTCTATTTCTTTAATATAATTCATTTCACTTTCACAACAGCAACGCCGCACTCACCAGCCTGGGATCCGGCTAGCCCAGGATCAGGTCTCGAAGTGCGACCTGGGCCACAGGAAGATACGAAAAACCGGGTCGCTTTGGGCAAGCGGCTGCGTACTCGGCGGCTGTTGCTTCCCGTCACGGGATCAATAAAGCAGTGCATTGAAATTTCCTACAGTATCATTCCTGCTTTACCCCCCCTGAGGATACAGAAGACAGAGGCCCGGGCTGTGATGTGGCGTTCTCTCTACTGAGAGGCAGGCCCTGTGGTTCTCTCTGGTTCCCCAGCCTGTTCCCTACTTGCCCTAAATCCTGGACTGGATTCAGCAGTCACGGAAGGGATACGTTTCCCCCCCCCATTTCCCCATAGGAAGTTCATCTGTGCTGCCTGTTCCGTCCCTGAGCCGGAAGAAAGGTTTAATGTGGATGAGTACTCGGAGATGGTAGCTGTGGCCAAGCCGGTCGTCTACATCACGGCGGCGGAGATCATTAACACCCACAAGGTGAAGGGGTCTGGAAAGGATTCTGCCTCTGCCGCGGTCGGGAGGGGAAGGAGGGCTCACCCTGGTGCCTGTCACCATGAAGGACTCAAACCTTGGACCCGGCAACCCAACCAGTACCTGCGACAAGTGCTGGGGTGGGGTCGGAAAACAAACCCATTTGCCCCTTCCCCCCGCCCGGGTCGGGTCAGCTCTGCTCCTGCCCGTGGGCTCAGCGAGGCAGTGGCTGCGTGCTCTGCTCCTGCCAGTTACCGCCATCTCACCGCAGCGGGACGGTGCCGAGGCGTCTCAGCCCGCTCTTTTCAGAACCGCGCTCTAATTCTGCAATCTCCTTTTGGACGTGGGGCGACCGGTGCACGTGCCGTATTCCAGACAAGGCCGGACCGTACCATTGGTTTATATCACGGTGGGCGCTTGTCTGGAATACGGTTTTTAACCTCATTCCTTTTGTGCTCTCCACCTCGCTCATGGTCTCCCTCTGGATGTAGCTGTTACTAGAGCATCAGGACTCCATTTCGCCCGATCACAAGGACCCTCTGCATGAGCTTCTGGAAGACCTTGATGGGCTGCCTACCGTCCAGTCTCTAATAGGTACGTGCAGACCCCTTGTAAGTTTCAAGAACGCCTCTCCCCTCGTGTCTTCTTTCAAGTGAACATATATTGCCTGTTCCCACCTTTGATAGTAGCCTGGCTAACTTCCCTTCACCTGGGCCAAGTAAATTACTTGTTGGGTGAGTAACTAGTGTTTCCACCTCCTTGGGTTTTTGTTTTTTCCCTTAAAGCCTCAACCCCTGAAGTCATGCGACTCATAGAACCTCCGCTCACGTTCTTTTTAGAAAACCAAGTTTCTAGTCCTCGTGGTTGCAGGAAAAAAACTTGAAAACATGACCTGCGTGCATTAAGATCGGGGGGGAGGCAAAGAGAACCCTATTTATATGTTAGATCTCCTGATTGTTTAAGCTCATTTTGTGGGTTTTCGACTGCGTGAGGTGGGCAGTACTGTCACATCCGTTTGTTTCTCATCCTTATGATCAAGTTGGGAGGGTCCATTACTTATTTCTATGATGCTCGGGGTTATCACTTTTCCTCCTTTGAGCTGGGAGGATTACTGATTAGCAAGGAATAATATGGCACCAGGTACCACTCAGTGGGATGGTTTCAGAGGGGTAGCAGTGTTAGTCTGTATCAGCAAAAAGAACAAGGAGTCCTTGTGGCACCTTAGAGACTAACAAATTTATTTGGGCATGAGCTTTCGTGGGGTAAAACCCACTTCATTGGATGCATGCTGTGGAAAATACAGTTGGAAGATATACACAGAACATGAAAAAATGGGTGTTACCATACTAACTCTAACAAGAGTAATCGGTTAAGGTGGGCTATTATCAGCAGGAGAAACAAAACATTTGTAGTGATAATCAGGATGGCCCATTTCCAACAGTTGACAAGAAGGTGTGAATAACAGTAGGGGAAAAAAATTAGCATGGGGAAATAGTTTTTACTTTGTGTAATGACCCATCCACTCCCAGTCTTTATTCAAGCCTAGTTTAATGGTGTCCAGTTTGTAAATTAATTCCAATTCAGCAGTTTCTCGTTGGAGTCTTTTTTGTTGGAGTATTGCGACTTTTAGGTCTTTAATAGAGTGACCAGGGCGGTTGAAGTGTTCTCCGACTGGTTTTTGAATGTGTTAATTCTTGAGGTCTGATTTGATGTGGGATGGTTTATTGATCAAAGCCTCTGGTTTGCAAGCAGAAGCACAGAGGGCCTCGGAGTGATTTACCCCACATAGCAGTCCACCCCAGTGGCAGGGTGCCGTGTAGAACCCAGATCTTCCCCCCGGCTCTGATCACCCCTCTTCCCTGATGAATGACCGAGTAGCTACTCCTGACTTTCTTTGGCCTTTTTATATATATGGAGATATACCTATGTCATAGAACTGGAAGGGACTTTGAGAAGTCATCGAGTCCAGTCCCCTGCCTTCACTAGCAGGACCAATTTTTTTGCCCCAGATCCCTAAATGGCCTCCTCAAGGATTGAACTCACAACCCTGGGTTTAGCGGGCCAATGCTCAAACCACTGAGCTATCCCTCCCCCCTTGCAGGCGAGAGCGCTCCGAATCCAGGTGATGGCAGCCCCGAGCAAGCGCTGGCCCAGCTCGGCAAGCAGGAGGTCTCGCTCACCCTCACCAACAAGTTCGATGCGGTGGAGGCCAGTAGCGAGGAGGCGGATACAAGGAGCTTGCTGCTGAGGTGAGAGCGGCCCTCTGAACGTGGCAATCCAGCATCCAGCGAGTCTGTGGCACGTCCTCCTTTGAAAGGGACCCTGTGGCTCAAGGAATTCAGTGAAGCTTTTCTGACACTCAGAAGCCAAGCCAGTAAAGGGCCATCTTGGTCTGGAGTCCTGGCTTTGCTCGATATGTTTAGATGTCCTGGTAGTGGCATTTGCAAGGAAATCTTCCACTGTTTGGCTCATCGCCTTGCAGCTAACTAGCTCAACCCACCCCCTTCCTCCAAAATGGGTAACTTGTGCTCCCTTTCTTTTGTTTTAGCACCAAACAGATGCTAGTGGACGTGATCCAGTCCCAGCCGGGGGATTCCCTCTTGGAGATCTTACGGACAGCTGCATCAGAGGATCAGGTGGGGTGGAGAATAGCAGAGAGGGGTTGGCCAGCAGAGGGGGATGTTGGGGGCTGGGTGAATCACAGTGTATCTTAAACAGGAGGTGTTCGTTAAAGACAACCGCTACACATAACAAACAGGCTTTCACCCAGCTTGAGTTCCAGCTTTGTGTCCTTTGTTTACCGGGGGCTAACACCTTGCCTGGAGCTTGCTACAGCACGCAGTGCCATCTACTGGCTGAGATATATACTGCAAGCACACATCATTGCAAAGGAGAGGAGCTTAACTGGAGCATATAGCACAGGTGTGGCTGCCCCATAGCGCCCCCTGCTAGTCGTGTGTGGTGGTGCTGCAGGCACTCCTGGCCTAAAGTTCCTCCTCCCAGGTGGGCCCCTTCAGCCTTCCCCGCACAAGCTGAAGTTGATGCCCTGGCTTAGCCCTCCAGCCAAGTCACCGACTAAAACTTAACGCCTTCCGGGGTAACAAGTCCAAACAAAAGGTTCTTCTGCCCCGCTTGGGCTTTTCTTCAGCCTGCCTTCTGGGCTCTGTTCCAGACCCTTCTAGGCTCCCTATCCGCTCCGGAGTAGAGCCGAGTCCCCTGCTTCTTCCACACCCTATCAGGGCCTTCCCCAGGAGCCCAACATGTTGTCTGCCCTCTCCTGAGGCCCAGCTGTTTATCGGGCTGTCCCCTGAGTTCAGTTAATCCCACTTAAGCTGGAAGGCACCTAATTATGGCTCAGGGGTGAATAATTGAACCGGGCTGGCCAGTGGCCTCCTGGTCTTTGAAAGGGGCAGGCCAGCCTGCTACAATCGCACCCTGGCATGGGAGCATTGTTGATTCCTTCAGCCCACCTGTGCCCCACCCAGTCTGAGAAGCCGGAGTTCACTGTGCTCAGGGAGGAGATGTAGTTCTCTCTGGCCTGAGGCTCGTGCGTGTGTGTGGTTGCTGGGGGGCTGACTTCCTATGCTCTCCCCGCGGCCTCCAAGTCTCGAAACCTGCTTCCGGGGATGCTGCCGCAGGTGCCGCGTTGATGGAAGAAATGTTCTCCCTCTCTCTCTCTCTAGGAAGCCTTCCATCACCACCAGATGCACAGACGGGCCCTGCGCGAGGCCCAGACCCCGGACAGGTTGAAACGCAACCGCTCCCTGGCTGGCAACAGCCAGCTCTCTATGGAAGAGAAGAAGCAGAAAGTCATCCGGAACCTGCGGCGCTTGGAGAGCCTGGGGGTGGTGGACTCAGCCAATCAGTACCAGGAGATCATCAACGAGATGGCCAAGGTACCACGCCCCGCAGCCTGCCCCGGCTTAGAGAACCTAGGAGAAGGCCAGGGGACTAGGAACAGGCTCGATAACAGGATAAGCCGAAGGTGTTGGGTGCACAGTCCATTAATACTGGAAGGGCTCAGTTCAGATGGGAGCCAAATTAATTACTAGGGTGGACAGATAGCAGAGGGCTCCAGCAGACAGCCTGGCTCAAGTCCTTACTTTGTCAGAGACTCCCTGTGTGACCTTGGATGAGGATAAAGACCCTGATTGTGCAGTGCTCAGATGTGACAATAATGGAGTTCACGTTAGATACTGATCTGCGCAACAGAGCTACCGGGGGCAGCTCGTGTTGGAGGGGGCGGATGTGTTCGGGGGACGTAGGCGGCCACTCGGAACATTCCTGTAAGTGCCTGAAAGAGAATCCGATGCTTTAAGCCCCGTGGTCCTTATCCTGTTCCCAGAATCCAACTGGCGTTTAGCTTGTGGGCAGCTTTGTAACCACGCATGAGTCGCTGTGATTCTCACTTCGGTAAACTGGCACAAGGCAAGGGGTTTTCCAGCTGTTCGTTTGTTTTGTTTTTTCATCCCTGACCGTGCTCCAGGATATTCGCAATCAGAGGCGTTACCGGCTGCACCGCAAGGGGGAGCTAGTGAAACTGCGGCAGACCCTCTGCGGCCTCAACTCCAAGACCTTGTTTTATGAGGAGCAAATCGACTATTACAATCAGTACATCCGGACGTGTCTGGACAACCTGGCTGCCAGCAGCAAGTATGTTGGACTATGTATGGGCTGGAAAAGAGCTCAAAGCTGTAACCGCCAACACGTATGCAGGATAAGCCGGAGGGTAACTGAATGTCATGCTTCATGGCATGAGCTGATCAGGGGTCAGGAAGGAATTCTTCTCCACTCTGTATGTAGCCTTATATCCCTCTTTAGTTAACCTCAAGCCTTCTTGCTAGTTGGCTGCCTCTGTTCATCCAGCACTTACTTCCTCTCTTGGCTCAAGAGCTTTCTCCCCTACATCCCTTTAATCTGGAAACCCCTCTATGCCTCTCCCCACCTCACTGACTTCCCCCCTCCGGCCCCACTGGAGATCTGACTCGTAGGTCCAGATCTGTGAGTCGGACGCGTCCGCGTAAGCGACTCTCTGTGTTTATCGCGTACCAGGCAGGCTGCTGTGTGACTTCGTTTCAGCCCCTGGCGTTCTCTGCTTCTAACCCTTCCTCCCCCCATTCCTTTTCTCTTAAGGCTCAACGGGAAGAGCAAGAAGCAGCCGTCGCTGCATTACACGGGGGCGCGGCTCTTTGAGAAGGGCGTATTGCTGGAGATCGAAGACCTGCCTGTCAGCCAGTAAGTACTCACCGCCGCCAGTGCTGCTCCGGTCTGAAAGCTGCCCCAGTCCAACAGCCACTCAGTTCTCTGCCCGTGTGATAAGACCTGGGTCGTCTCAGCCTGGCTCTGCTCACTTCCCCTTTGCTGACAGTCTCAGCCTAAAGGCCATACAGGCTGGGAGTCAGAGGGGCCTCCGGGAGGGCAGTGTGTAAGAGGGAAGATTATTCGAGCCGGCCAAAAAAATGAGAGAATCTCAGGTGCTTTCTTCCTCGAAGTCTGGTGGTTCGAATATACTCCTTGTGAAGCAGAGTATAATCTATCTCAGTGTACAACAGGAAACAGACCGAGTGAAGGCTACGGAGCTGATCAGCAGCAGAGAGTGGGACTAGAACCCAGGCGTCCTGATTCCCAGTCCCCCACCCCGCTGTAACCATTAAGCAACACTCCCCTTCCAGAACGGGAATAGAACCCAGGCGTCCGGATGCTGCTGTCTCAGCCTTTCCGTTGCCCTCGTTTAACTCTCTTCCCCTTCCAGGTTCCGGAACGTGGTTTTCGACATCGTTCCGTGTGGGGAAGCCGGCAAGTTCCAGGTGAAGGCCAGATTTATGGGGATCGACATGGAGAAGTTCCAGCTCCACTATCAGGTAGGGAACCAGCCCTGGTGCCTTCGCCCATGGGGATGCTTCTGTGCTGAGCATAACAGCAGCACAGAAGAACCGAGGTGGAGTCAATGCACCAATCCGTGGTTGGAGTTCGGAGGTGACCCGGCTACACTAACTCTTGCCGTCCGAGAGGTATGCATTACATAGACTCCCAAGGGTTAATGTCGTGGTTGGAGCAGGAGACTGGATAGAACCCAGGAGTCCTGGCTTAGGCCACGTGCTCTACCCGCTAGACCACACTCCCTTCCCGAGCCAGGAACAGAAGTTAGGGTTCGGCTCCTGATAGGGGAGAGCAGTCTGGTGCTTGGAGCAGGAGACCTGTTATCTCCCTAGGGTCTATTCTTAACAGTGCAGCCAGCTTGCTCCATAGACGAAGTGAAGTACCTTCTCCCCTGAACCCCAGTATCCCCAAGAATGCAAACCCAGCAGGCAGTTAGCTTTGACCTCCCAACACAGATGGGCTATGAATCACAGATTATCAGGGTTGGAAGGGACCTCAGGAGGTCATCTAGTCCAACCCCCTGCTCAAAGCAGGGCCAATCCCCAGACAGATTTTTGCCTCAGATCCCTAAGTGGCCCCCTCAAGGATTGAACTCACAACCCTGGGTTTAGGAGGCCAATGCACAAGCCGCCGAGCCAGGGGTGTTCTGGATAGTGAGGCTGATGAGATGTCTACCTAGAATCCTTAATTTATACCAGAGTAAACCCCTCTAGGGAAGAAGAGTGCTTGGAGCAGGGAACTGGTTGATAAGATTCCTGGGTTCTCTATTCCCAGCTCTGGAAGGGAGTGTGATCTAGTGGTTAGAGCAGGGGGGGCCAGGACTCCTGGGTTCTATGCTCCCAGTTTTGTCACTGACTCGCTGTGCACATTGCTTCCCCTCTGCCTCAGTTTCCCCATCTGTAAAACGGGGGATAATGCCTACCGCTGGCGGGGGTGTTGGGAGACTGAACGTTCGTCCGCTGCTCAGAGAGCCTGGGATGCCGTTGGCTATGGAATCCCAGCATGATGTGCCAACAGCAGCTCGGAAGGAGCTGAGGGAAGGGTCCGGAGCTCCTGGAAGTCGAGGGAAAGATTCTTCCTTGACCACCAGGGGCGCTGGCTCGGGCTCCACCAAAGACCTGTCACCAGTGGGATTTTCTCCCTCCCAGGACCTGCTGCAGCTGCAGTACGAAGGTGTGGCCGTCATGAAGCTGTTCAACAAGGCCAAAGTCAACGTCAACTTGCTCATTTTCCTCCTCAACAAGAAGTTCTTCAGGAAGTAGGAGGACGGGGGGGAGGGAACCTGCCAAAGAGATTTCAGGGACAGAATCCGGCTTCTGAACGGTACCTTGCCAAGGAGAGGGGAAAACTACAGAACCGGAGCCATTGCCGTTAACGCTCTCCTGCCCAGAACTGGCACGCTCGAGCTCTTCTACATCAAGCCGCAACTTGTTGCCTTGGGGGTTAAATCTGGATCCCAGCATACATGTAGGAGGCAGGGGGGATGACGCTTGTGCCTCCCCTATTCAGGGGCTGGCGCACGCTCTGGCAGAGGGTACAGCACCCCTTACAACTGCCCTTTTTGTTGCAATGGTCCCTAGGCGGCTTTGCAGTGGTCTAGAATGACTGGTGTGCTGGTCTGCCCCATCTGCCTGCCCCCTTGCAGCTGGGGGGCTGACGGCTGATCCGCAGTCCCTTTGCGGCAATGGAGCTGGTGCCCCAGGGTCTGATTCCTCCGTGCCTTATCCATGCTGCTGCTGCTTTGACTAGATAGGAAACGCAATTACTCCGAGCTGCCGCCCACTTCCTATGAACAAGGTGATGGTTTATTTTATTTTGTGTGTTTTTTAACTAGCCTGAGACTTTTAGGCATCGAGTGGTTGAGCTCTGGCTTATCCCTTCTCAGCCACGCGAGCGCGAGGTTGGAAATTTTTTCACCCTTCCCCCCCCCGACGCGCGTGAAACCAGCGAGAGACGTGTGAGAGTTCTTGGGCTGCACCCAGGCGTGCAAACGATCCATGTACCACGTGAGGGTCCTCTGCTGAACGGCAGTGAATCGGGCTCAGGCCTAGTTGAACAGCTGGTGTTGGACTACTCTTAGCACAAGGTGTGTGTGTGTGTGTGTGTGTGAGAGAGAGAGGGAGGGGGTTAGCAGTCTCTGTGGCTTTTTAATGTATATTAAACCCGTTTTTTAAAACTAGTATTTTTAGATGTTTGAGTTCTGAGCTTAGTTCTCTCGGGTCACTTGGCCAGTGGTCGTTTAAGGACACGGAGGGGTTGTAGGCTGCAGACCTGATCTTTGACATTTTAGTTTTTTTAAAAGATACATTGATTGTAATTTTTCCCTACCCCAGCAAAAAAAAAACCCCACTACCTCTGTTTTCTCAGTCAGAATCAGACTGCCCATAGAAGAGGAAAAATCCCATAACCACACCAGTGTTGGCCACCCTACAATAATAAACACTGTGTGTGGGCTGCCCAGTACCTTTGGGCCACCCTACAATAATAAACCAGTGTGTGGGCTGTCTGGGACCCATGGGCAGCCCTACAATAATAAACCAGTGTGCAATAGAGAGCAGCTGAAACCTAATTAAGGCCACTACATTTTAAAGCCTCCCGTGGGGAAAAATGGATCAAAATAGCTCGGCTTAGCATGGGGCCCTGGCCAGACTGGTTCACCCATTGCAATGTGTCCTAAAGTGCAGGGGAAGGGGGCCTGGGCATGTCAAAATTAGGGAAGACCTCGAGGGTGTGGTTTTTGTTTTGGTTTTGTTTAAATCTTCATGTTCTCTAGGTGGGCTGTACCCCTGGCAAATGGAAGGCCTAGCAGGGTGGGTGCAATCGCTCTCCATCTGGGAAGGATAGGAAAGAGGGTAAACGCGAGTGGTTAACATCTGACCGAGGCGACTCTGGAATGAATAATCCCCAGGGGACAGGAAGGGAAGTACAAACCAGGACCTTGGTCTTGCGAGATGCTCCTGCATGTGTTTAAGCAGGAGTGCTGCTATTGATTTGAACTGGGGGAGGCCTGCTCACCCCAGTCATGGCCCAGCACTCTGGGGTGCTAGGTGCCGTCAAAACCCAGAACGCAAAGACCGCCCCTGCCCCCGAGAGTTTTCAATCAAAAGTGCCACCAGCGTGAGTCGGTGCTTGAAGCCGAGCGTGTGCGTTTGTGGGGGCAGGGGCGAGGATTGCCGATGCCTGTACCAAAAAGCCCCCCTCTTTCTTACGACCTGAATTTTTCTTTTAAATAACTTTTAGAACCCCATTAAGACTAATGAAACCTGCCACCCTAGCACCAGTAACGCTGCACTGCCTATGCCGAGGCAGGTACTGAGAACGCTTACAAGTGCCTGGTATAGTCAGGCACCAAAACAAGGCTTGAAAGTACTTGTGTTTATAATATGGCGTCACGGGTGGGCAGGACACTTCACAGGGCTCGTCTTCACGGCAGTGTGAACTCGAGTTCTGGCCCTCGCTCAAATTCCGTCCACACACGCGCACGCCCCCTTTATCTCAGGATGGCTGCGGCTTGAGTTAGCCCGACTCGGCGGCTACCACAGTTGCTCTGTGCGGCTTAAGTGTGAGCAGCCACACTGGAGCGAGGCTAGCTAGAGCGGCATAACCTGCGTCTGCAGCGAAGACATCACCCTAGATAAGGCAGTGTGGTTCAGTGCCCTGGGAGCCACCGCTCTGCCATGGACCTGCTGGGATGTGCCTCAGTTTCCCTCTGTGTAAAACAGGGATAATATAATACCTACTTCATTATATAGATAACCATTTAACATCCACCCGTATAAAGCCATTTGAGATGTGTGTGTGAAAACCCTTGTGTTAAAACTGGCAGGTCTCTGACCAACAGATCTTAGACTAGATAATAGATACATAACTCTTCGGATGCTGGCGTTTTCCCTACTGCTTGCCAAGGCATACTGCTGGCCAGATCCTCATCTGGTGCGAACTGGCAATGGGGCTTGGCTGACTTACACCAGGTGAGGCTCTGGCCCAGCAGGTCTAAGGGTGCAGCCTTCAAAAGGCAAGAGAAATTCCCTGAGTTCAGTGTTCATAGTAACGAAGGCCAATTGCTTTAGCAGCTGCAGAAAATTTAGCTAAAAATCCAGCTTCAGGGGTGAACCCCTTTTTCTCCTTTGCTGATACAATGACACCTAGTGGCCTAAGAGAATATTGCCTTTTAAAATACATTTCGGCTTCAACCTTTTTGAATGAATATGAATCGGGGACGGCGAGTTGGCATTAGCTTTACAAAGCAGTTTTATACCAATTAGCCTTTTATTTTTTCCAATGGCATAATGATTTTGCAGAAGCTGGGTAGTGAGGTGTTATTAAATCGTATATAGTTTTTAAAGAACTAGGAGTTATGGTAGATCAAACTGAGAACGAACCACCACTGTAATGGTGGAGTTGCAAAAAAGGCTAATATCATTCTGGGATGTATTAACAGGAGTGTCGTATATAAGACACAGGAGGTAACTGTCCCACTCTGCTTAGCAGTGGTGAGGCCTCAGCTGGAGTCCTGCGTCCTGTTCTGGGCGCTGCACTTCAGGAAAGACGTGGATACATTGGCGAGAATCCAGAAGACAGCCACACAAACGATCAAAGGTTTAGAAAAGCTGACCTATGAGTAAAGGTTAAAAAACCTGGGCATGTTTAGTCTTGAGAATAGAAGACTGAGGGGAGGGGATCAGTCTTCAAATATGATCCGGGTGAGGTATGATCAGAGTGGTCAATGGATCTCCATGTCTGCTGAAGGTAGAACAAGAAGTAATGGGCTTAATCCGCAGTAAAGGAGATTTAAGTTAGCTAGTAGGAAAAAAGGTCTCAGGTGTACTTCATCCATGAGCATCTCGACTGGCTGTTTCATAACCCCCACAGCTGTTAGATTTATACTACACTCCACGTGAAGACAGAGCCTGCTCTAAACTTAGGAGTCCTGAACGTCCTTTGTGCTGGGAGCTGTACATGCACGTGGTCAGAGACAATCCCTGTCCCATAGAGCTTTGGCCAGGTCTGCACGAGGGTATAGCTATGCCAGTTCACTATGCTGCCAAAGTGCTCCTAGTGTGGACGCAGCCTGTACTAGCAAACCCGCACAATTAGCAATGTCGCTTATGCCACCCCATCGCTGAGCGAAACAAGCTATCCCGCTAGAAGCACGGTTTTGCCAGTGTAACTGGATCGGCACTCGGGCTTTCTGCTGGCTCAGCTGTGTGGATCAGAAATCACTCCGGATTGCCATCGCTACATCAGCAGAAGGACGTGGCCTCAGTCTAAATAGGCAAGATGGACAAAAGTTGGGAGAAAGGGATGGTTTATCTCCAGTAGGCAGACGGGGAGCCGACACGTGTTTACACACCCTGCAGCAGCGACTCGGTCCGCAAACTCGGGTTGACACTAGTGCTCCAAAACTCGCTGTATAGGCAGCGCTTCAAAGTTGGAGCCCAGGGTCTGAAGCCCCCTCTGCTCCCTGGGCTTCACAACGTGAGCTGCCCGCACCGCTGTTTTTAGAGCGCTAGCCCCAGCCGGCTGACCCAGACATACCCAGAGTGGCTGGGCTTGATTCTCTGTTGCTCTGATCCTCACAGAGTCCTTTTGCGCCCGGACAGAATGGGTGTAAAATGCTGTCCTGATGTAGCAATGGACACCCTCTGCCAGGCACCAGAATCGAGCCTGCTTTCACTCAGGAAACTGGGCATTAGAGACTCCGGTGTGGGTCCCGATCCAGCGCCTTAACCGCGCGGCTCTCCTATTAGGAGGGTGGGGTGGGGATTTACTCTCAGAAATTCTCCCGGTTCCATAAGGCTGCAGCGTGGCAGGGCCTTCCCTTTATGATGCTGGGGCAGGGTAATGAAGCCTTCAAGTGGCTGTAAACCAGTCACACTCCCGTGGGTGTGAGGCTAAGTGCACTGAAGATTGCAAGGTGCTTGGGTACTACGTTACTGGAAGGCAGATCAATACCAAAGATGCTTCAAGGGGCCTTAATAGAAACAAGGATTGTGCTAGCAGGGCTCCCGAACCTGGCCAAATGCAAGATCTACAGCGACGCGTGTGCGCCGTCAGGATTCTGCCTGCGTGGCCTGAACGGGAGCTGCTCGCCCCTCCAGCCTGGCGGCTGCTCTCCTAGCTAGTTCTAGTTCGAGCTGATGCGGTTTGGAATCCGTTTTAAAACGTAGCGTCATCAGGGATTGAGCTAAACCTGTCGCTGCTGCTTTCCATGCAACGATACATGTTGGATTTAGACGTCCGCCCAGCCCAATGGCTGGAAAAGGCCTAAAACATCCAACATTGCGGGGGCTCTTTCAGTTGGTTTTTAACCCAGACCAAAGGACATGGCAGGCTCTTTTTGTCTAGGGATGTTGCAGTCAACCAATTGCCAGCTGTTCTATTAGGGCCCAATCCTGTGGGGCGCTGAGGGCGCTGGCCCTGATTCGGGAAAGCCCCTAAGCGCGTGCTTACTTGTTAAGCAGGTGACTAATCCCATTGACGCGAATGGGGCTATTCGCCATGCTAAGTGGGGGCTAAAGTGCTCTGCACTTGTCCAGGAACCAGCCCCCAAATAGGCCTGATCCTGCCAGCTTTGCACATGCTCCATTCCCCTGAGACCAGCCCCTGCTCCTCTTGGCATTGGAGTAAACTGAGAATAACTGCAGAAGTCGGCAGCATTTCGCTGCTAGAGGGAAAAAATGGGGAGCAGGACGGGGTTGGCAGATGTCAGTAGGGATGGAGAGTGCTGGGGGTCATGCAGGACGGGGTCCTAAAGAGAGATTCTGCAATCAAGGCCCTGACCCTCATTTATATTCAGGCCCCCTTCGCACCGCTCTGGCAGTGTAAAGGGAGCTTCAAAGAAGTCCAAATTACAGTTGAGGCCTTATATTTTAACTGTAACTTACACTGAATCTATGTCTCCATTACCCGGCCAGCACAGCGCAAAGGGGCCCTGTGTGTGAATGAGGATCAGACCCTCACCCCTATACATTTTGCTCATGTAACTCACCTGACGGTGTAGGCTTGCTGCTCTGGGCTATTCTCTCACAGACGGGTTAAGCGAGGAACTGTAAGTCTTGGAGCTCTGTTCTTGCTGTGTCCCTGGAAGGAATTTTTGTCTGTTTCATGTCTTTTTGTTTTTGTCATTCACTTGCTGTACATAGTGTGTTAATCCTGCCTCTCCAGGCGTGTGCCCGCTGTATTCAAATCTCCATTGCTTCTCTGTGCCCGCGCCTCACTCGGTTTATTCTAAATAAACGTCTCTATGTGGACAAAACGGTAGTGACGTTGTCCTTGTTACAGATCAACTCTGGAGCAGGAGACAGCGGGGTGTAGGCAGGAGACCTGGATTCTATTTCTGCCACTGGCCTGGTGGGTGACCCTGGGCATGTCACTTCCCTGCTCTGTGCCTCCGTTCCTGCCTTATAACCTAAATAGATAAGATGGCCAAAGGGGAAACAATCTATATCAAGATTATCTATATGCATCTGAAGAAGTGGGTTTTTTACCCATGAAAGCTTATGCCCAAATAAATCTGTTAGTCTTTAAGGTGCCACCGGACTCCTCGTTGTTTTTGTGGATACAGACTAACACGGCTACCCCTGAATCTATATCCGTGGTACTGAGACCTCAGTGATTCAGATGCCACATAAGCGATCAACATTACCCAAAAGAGCGGCAGTAGTGTGAATTCATTGTTTCATTTACTATTTATAATTTTTCTCACAGCAGAATGACTGACCAAATATTTTATCAACTACAATTGGTTAAGAACATATTAAAAGCATCCTGATTGGATGATTTAATTATTAACCAATCTAAATCATTAACCTGTGTGTTAATATGCGCTACAAAGAGCTGTAGGAGACACATAAAAGAGCCACTTCCGGGCCTCAATCTGAGCATCATTGATCTAGACAGACAGCGCCTGGCGCAGCAGGACTATGATCTTAAAAGGGGCATCTAGATACTACTTTAAGTAACAATAAGGGCCAAATTCTGCCTCTGGTCTATGCATGTAAATCTGAGGGGGTTGAACAGGAGAACCAGGCATGTTTCCAGGGACAGACTCAACGTGCAAGGAGACGGCGCATGCTTTTCAATCCATACGCTTACCAAAAACGACCCAAGTTTGATCGTCTCGAAATGCCACACACAAACAGTTTTATAGTGTGACAAAGTCAGGCCGGAGGGTCCTGGAAGGCCGGATATGTTAGCACAAGAATATTACAGGCCCTTTTTCCTACAAGCTGAGAAGGGGTTACCTCAAGTCAATTAGGGACAACTGAATCCAATTAAGGGCTGCCTGAGGCCTCTAAAAACCCCTCTTCTGGGGAGAGTAAAAGGGAAGAGAGAGACAAGCTAGTGACAGCTGGGAAAGAAGCGGTTTCCAGGCTGTGCTCCTCCCCAGAGGGGAACAGCCAAACCCAAGTGCCTGCGAGGGGAAAGACAGACCCCCCCGGACAAGCAACAGGACGACACCTTGTCCCAGCGGGGAGGCAGGAAAAGGTATCCCCTTTTGGTTTTGTGTTTACAAACCTGTTTCCTTTTCGTATGGTGGAGGATCACCCCTTAGGCCAACCCTGAGGACAGCCAAAGGAGCACAGAAGGGGAAGGTAAACACTGCCTGGAGTGGGGCTGATTTACCCCCAGGCCCGCCATTGCTAAGTCTGGTGAGCCGGAGGAGTTGCCTTTCCACAATATTTATACAGCAGCATCTTTATGTCTAGAGGGATCTCAAAGCACTAGGTGTAGAGGTCAAAAATCATTTGACCCTCTTATGAAGTGCAGCCACTGCTGGGGTGAAGCACATCCGTTGTTCCACGGCAACATACAATTCTTCACTTGGAGCAGCTCTGTCCAATTCAAACCGCAAGATGAAATCTCTGAAAGCAAGAGCAATGTAATTACCCTCATGGGCTTCTGGCCAACGTAAAGGCACTGCCCTCCCTCTGCTTTTATGAAGAGTGAAATAGGATAAGTGGCTTCTAATTCTCTCATTGCCCCCTGGCCATCACAGTTCATTGGGAGGAGCGCCATCTCTTGCAAAGCACGCCTTAGCCTGAGCTTACACAATGAGATCCCGTATGGAATTTATGGCTGAGAGGTAAAAAGGGGCCCGACCTACAGGCAGGAAGGCTGGTACTGGGGTGAAAGCACAGGGTTTGGCCTGGCAAGATGTGGCTTCGATCCCTGGTTCTGTTACAGCCTTATTGTGCTGGGCAACTCACTTAACCTCTGTGCTCTGTTCCTCATCTGTCACGTGGGGCTAATGTCTCCCCCTGTGTTTAGATTGAACGTTCTTTGGGGGCAGGAACTGTCTCTCCCTAGGTGTACGTACAGCACCGAGTGCAGTGAGACCCCAGGTCAATTAGGGTTGCTTCTCTATTAAGCCAGGAATTTCCAAAAGGGAGGAGTGATATTCCCCCCCACCCCGCCCCCCGTCCTCCCCTCCAGGTGCCCAATCTCTTTAAAGGGGCCTGATTTCTCAGCACCTGCCCTCTGACAATCCAGCCCCATGGAGGCCGCTCCAAAATAGGTGTTGGAGAACCTCCGCCAAAGTTAATGATCGGGCAGTGGGGGGCTGCTGGCCAGGTAGATGACTGACTGTAGCTAGGTGGTGTTCGTGTGGGCAGGGCTTTGCTTTTCAGGCTGTTGTGTAGTTTGAAGCGTGGACAAGCAGGCAAGGTTTGGAGGTCGCATTCTTATTTAATGTTTGTATCCATTGATATTCCAGGGCGCGGATAAACAGGCTCCCGCAGCAAACTGCACCCCCATATCTCACCTGCACCTCCCAAAGATTAATCTGCATCGCAGATGACTCGGTTGATAATGAGCTCGATAATAGCAACATTAGCTTGGAACGGGCTTCATTTAAGTCCCACTGAGTCAGATGCTTAGATATCTATTCAGCTCTTGTGCAGGGAATTTAGGCCACTTTCAGACACACTTAATTCTTACATAAATACTATGATTACATCTCATAAAGACTATGATTATATCTTTAAAAGAATAAATTTGTAGCAAGCTGCAGAAACGCTTCACGTTCTAAAATGGGAGCGAGTGGTCGTTAACCTGTTGGCTGCTGCGCCGCCAGGAGAAAGATCGTGTGCGTGAATCGGCAGGCTGGGGGGTTATGTGGTTTTTCTTCCATTTGCAGCTCAGCAATAATAGATCCTTCTCTGAAGCACACGGTTATCTCTTGAGTTGGGACTCTGTGATTTCCCCTGGCTCTCGGCAATCTAAATCTTTCTGCCTCAACGTGGTTTGAGCTAGGAAGCTGCCGTCAAGACTTCCGTAAGTAACCAGTGATTTTTTTGGGTGTGTCAAGTGGGTAGAGGCCCAGCGGGAGATCCCTTTAATAATAATAATAATAATACTGCTGAAAAGAGGTAGGCATTAAAGCTCTTTACAAAGGAGGTCAGTAGCATTTATCCCCATTCACACCTGGGGAAACTGAGGCACGGGGAAGGAAGTGAGTTGGCCAAGTTCACCCAGCAAGGGATGGGCGGAGCCTGGAATTGAACTGCAGTCTCCTAAGTCCCGCTGTTCTTTTGCTAGGCCAGACTGTCTCCTCACCCTCTGAAAATCAGGCCCCCTTGAAGGCATCTTAATTGAATACCTAAAAAATGACTTGCCCGCTTTGAAAATTGTGGTTTAGATTTTGGTGGGAGCTTTACTCCTGAGACACTTCTATCACACTTAGCCCAAGGGTGTCTGTGCACCAGAAACCTCACCCCCCACCCTGTGTTTGCTCACCCTGCCCAGGCAGTAGTATTCTCTTCATTATACAGCTGGGGAAACTGAGGCACAGAGCATCCGCATCTGGTTTTCTGCTGCCAGGCACACGGTGGCAGTCCTTTGCAACAGTGCAAAGTGAATGGGGAAACACGCTACCATTTAGCTCCCTTTTCACTAGTGTAAAGATCTGCCCAGGTGGAGGGCAATGGTGAAGTGGGACTCATGTGAGAGTCTGTGGCCAAGCCAGGCATCAAAGCCCGATCTCTTTTGTCCTAGAGCAGCGTCTTAAGCACAGGGCTCCCCCTCCGGCCGTGTATGTGTTTCAACATTGGGCTCACTGGTGTCAAAGCACAAGTCCATGGAGCAGATCCCCCTTCCATAGCCCACTCGACTCCCATGACATTGGACTCCAACCTTAAATCTGGGAAGCCGCTGGCAGGGGTTTGGGGCCTGAATTATAAGGCTTGCTGGACGGATCTCTGTCAAAACCAGCCGACCGCTTTTGTTTCCTCCCTGCCTGCTTAAAAAAGGGGGTGGGGTGCCAGGCTGAAAATGTCAGCAAGCTGCCGCGCCAGAACAATCTCCGGCAGCAGCTCCACTAGGTGTCGTCGTAACCTGGGGAACCGCACGCCGTTGGGGGATTCTAGTCTGTTGGTCTGGCGATGCTGTTCACAGGGGTGCGACAAGAATAGTTTGAGTTTATATAATAATTCAGCTGTGGCGCTCGGCGATGGGCACGTCACGCTGCCCCCATTTTAAGGAGGGGGAAACTGAGGCACGGGGGGGGCTGTGACTTGGCCGATAAGCTCTTCGGGGGAGGGGGCTGCCTTTTTGTTCTGGCTAGAGCGCCTAGTGTCAGGGGTCCTGGTCCATGGGGCTCCTAGGTGCTACCTCCGTGCAAATACTAATAATTATTATGTATATAATAATACTAGCGGTGAGAGGCTGCAGCCAGGATTGGGATATTGTTGTGCCAGGCGCTGTACGTATGTGTACTCGGAGACAAGCCCCTGTCCCAGAGACCTTCAACTCTAAATAAATAAGGCATTAAAGAGGGTGGTTGATGCATCAGGCCAGGAAATATTGCCCAGAGTCCCAGGGGCCCTGCCCTGTCCTACCCACCTGCAGCTCATAAGCTTCCTTGTTGTGCGATTCCTCACCCCCCCCGCCATCTACCCCCATATTCTTCTCCTAGGGGCTGGAGGTGGGATCATCTTTTGAATTGTTGAGACTTTGTGGGGGTCAGGTGCTGGGGATAGAGACTCAGGGCAGTTGGATGGTCACATAGGACTTTAATACACGCCTGGCCCTGGGCCGCCTGCTGTAAATTCCCACCAGACCGAGCCCGGCCCCTCTACTTTCCCAGCTCGGCATACAGCATGTCACCTCGCCCGGGACGCGGCTGCCGAGTGAGACAAATCACCAGTTGCCATGCAACCCCTAGCAACAGCGTTCCCGCTTCCCAGGCCCGCTCTGTCTCCCTCGTTATTTATTATCATAATTGCCTCCGCGAGCATAAACTATTTTAAATGATGT